GCGGGCCCCCGCCCGCGGGGGGAGGCGGGGGGGGGGGGGGGGGCACAAGGAGCTGCTCCCTCCCCCCCACATCCTCCTGGCTGCTCTGAGCTGGGGGGGGCTGCTCCCCCCGTGTCCGGCCGGGCGGGGGCTGAGCGGGGCTGTTGCCGTTGCAGGGGCCGGTGGCCTTCGAGGAGGTGGCCGTGTATTTCACCCCGGGGCAGGGGGCGCTGCTGGGCCCGGCGCAGAGAGCCCTCTACCGGGCCGTCATGCACGGGACCGGGGGGGGGGTCAGAGACCCCTTGATCGCTCCTTATGGGGCCTGACAGTCTAGCCAGCTTTCTATCCACCTCACGATCCGTGTATCCCACCCAGACTCCCTTCGCTCGCTGGCAAGAATATTGTGGGAGACCGTATCAAAAGCCTTGCCAAAGTCAAGGTCTATCACATCCACTGATTATGGGGCCTGACAGTCTAGCCAGCTTTCTATCCACCTCACGATCCGTGTATCCCACCCAGACTCCCTTCGCTCGCTGGCAAGAATATTGTGGGAGACCGTATCAAAAGCCTTGCCAAAGTCAAGGTCTATCACATCCACTGACTTTCCCATGTCCACCGAGCCAGTTACCTCCTCAGAGAAGCTAATCAGATTGGTCAGGCACGACTTGCCCTTTGCGAATCCATGTTGACTATTCCTGACCATTTTCCCCTCATCCAAGTGCCTCAATATGGATTCCTTAAGGATCCCTTCCAGGAACCGAGGTCAGACTGACCAGCCTATAGTTCCCTGGATCGTCCTTCTTCCCTTTTTTGAAGCTGGGCCCTACATTTGCCTTTTTCCAGTCATCCGGGATTTCTCCCGATCTCCACGACTTTTCAAAGCTCAGGGCCAAAGGCTCCTCAATGACATTTGCCAGCTCCCTCCGCCCCCTCAGATGCATTAAATCCGGGCCTATCGATTTGTGTACGTTTAGCTTTTCTAAATAGTTCTGAACCTGTTCTTTCCCCACCGAGGGCTGGTCACCTCCTCCCCATGCTGCGCTGCCTAGTGCATTTCTCTGGGAGCTAAGCGCCTCTGTGAAGACAGAGGCAAAGAAATCATGAGTGGTGTGGAGAAAGTGACTAAGGAAAAGTGATTGACTTGTTCCCATAATAGAAGAACTAGGGGCCACCGAATGAAACTAATGGGCAGCAGGTTTAAAAGAAATACTAGGACGTTCTTCTTCACACAGCGCGTAGTCAACCTGTGGAACTCCTCGCCAGAGGAGGTTGTGAAGGCTAGGACTAGAACAGAGTTTAAAAGAGAACTAGATACATTCATGCAGGTTAAGTCCATCAATGACTATTAGCCAGGCTGGGTAAGGAGTGGTGTCCCCAGCCTTTGTGTGTCTGATGGACGGCAGGAGAGAGATCGCTTGGTTGTTTCCTGTTCGGTTCACTCCCTCCGGGGCACCTGGTGCTAGACAGGGCACTGGGCTGGACAGACCTTTGGTCCGACCCTTATGTTGCAGCCCTCAGCTTGCTGCAAGGCTGGTCAGGGAGCGTGGGGGACCCTTATGGGACGGGGGAGGTAACCTCGTGATCGATGAGGGGAACAGCTGAGTTGTGGCCTTGCTCTCTTGTCGGGGAGGGCTCTAGCTTCTGCGGGCACGGACGGAGAGAGACACACCCGCGTCCTCGTGTTTTCTGCGTCTCCCAAGCGGTTTGAGTTGGCCCCGACCCCTGTGGGAGCAGGTTAAAGGCAGGGAACGCTCTTCATGACGGACACTCTCCCCCGCGCCCTGACTTTGCCTGATTTCCCCCCTGCGCAGGGCTCCCCGGTCCCAAACCCGAGCTGATCGCCCGGCTGGAGCGAGGGGAGGAGCCGTGGGTGCCGGATCTCCAGGCCAACGCGGGAGGAGAAAGCCCAAGAGGCGCCTGCCCAGGTGAGGAACGAGGGAAACTGAGGCAGAAACATCCGGCCAGGGAAGGAAAAAAACGGGGGCTCCCGAAAGGTGCTGCGAGCAAGAGCCCTCGGTTCTGCCCCCGCCTTGCCCAGGTCAGCCAGTGTCGTAGCATCAAGGCACATATCATGAGGGCAGGGGACTGGACTCGATGCCCTCTCAAGGTCCCTTCCAGTCCTAGTGTTCTCGGATTCCCCCGTTCCTGCTCACTGCCACAAATTTCCTCCCTGACTTCACGTCCCTGCGAGTGTTTGGGTGGGATGTGCAGGCAGGATCCAGTGTTGCCGCCTCCCCCCCAGTTACTGTTTTGTTCCCCCTCCTTGCTCTTCCCCTGCCCGACCCTTCCTCCCCCCGGCATGCTCCGTGACTCCTGGCTTTTTCTGTCTCTCCCGGCAGGCGGCAGGGCTGGGGATACGCTCAAGGAGGAGACTCAGCAGCAGGAAAGCCCTGTGCGCTCGGAACCGCCGGAGACGTGCCCAAACAGAGCTGAAGGGAGTTTTTCCCTGGGCTTGGAAGAAGGAAAGGCCTGGGGAGAGCCGCACGGGGCAGAGAGGCAGCCGGAAAACTGTCCCAGGAAGAGACCGGCAGGATCCGTTCCACGCGGCAGAGGGCTGAAGGATGCCGAGGAAAGCGCAGCGCAGCCGAAAGAAATTAAACCCTACAGGTGCCTTGAGTGCGGGAAAAGCTTCCGTTTCCCTTCCAAGTTGCTTACGCACCGGAGGACCCACACGGGCGAGAAACCCTACCAGTGCGCAGCCTGCGGGAAAAGCTTCCGTTGTAAGCGAGCGCGTGTTGTGCACCAGAGACTGCACACAGGAGAGAAACCCTACACATGCTGTAAGTGTGGGAAAGGCTTTACTGCCAGTTCCTACCTTACTAACCACGAAAAGACTCACACCAGAACAAGGCCTTATCAATGCCTGGAGTGCGGGAAGAGTTTCCACGTGAAATCGCTCCTTCATGCCCATCAGAAAACCCACACCGGAGAGAAACCCCAGAAATGCCTGGAGTGCGGGAAGGGCTTCTTGCGGAAGTCGCAACTTCTTATCCACCAGCGAGTGCACACGGGAGAGAGACCCTTTCAGTGCCTTGAATGTGGGAAAAGCTTTGTCCGAAACCCGCATCTTATTAGACATCAACAGATCCACGCAGGAGAGAGACCGTATAAATGCCTGGAGTGCGGGAAACAGTTTTTGTACAACGCGTCCCTCACTCAGCACAGGAGAATTCACACTGGCGAAAGACCCTATACATGCCACGAGTGCGGGAAAGGTTTTATAAACCATTCATCCCTTATTATACATGGGCGAATCCACACAGGAGAGAGACTGTATACGTGCTTGGAGTGCGGGAAACAATTTTTGTACAAAGCGTCCCTCGCTCAGCACAGGAGAATCCACACTGGTGAAAGACCCTATACATGCCACGAGTGCGGGAAAGGTTTTATAGACCATTCATCCCTTATTAAACATGGGCGAATCCACACAGGAGAGAGACCCTATACATGCCAAACATGTGGGAAAGGTTTTACTGCAAGCTCATCCCTTACGAGGCACAGAAGTATTCACACCGGAAAAAGACCGTATACATGCCTGGAGTGTGGGAAAAGCTTCCGTGTGAAATGCATCCTCAGTGCACACCAGAAAACCCACACCGGAGAAAAACCTGAGAAATGCTTGACCTGTGGGAAGTGCTTCCGCTGGAATTCACAACTTAGTACACACCAGACAGTGCACACAGGAGAGATGCCCTTTAGGTGCCTCGAGTGTGGGAAAAGTTTTATAAGAAAGTCGTCCCTTATTAGACACGGGGAAATCCACACAGGGGAAAGTCCGCATGGATGCCCGGAATGTGGGAAAATCTACGCTTCTAAATCGTCCTTTATTAGACATCTGAAGAGCCACACAGGAGAGAAAGCGCATAAATGCCTGGAGTGCGGGAAATCTTTCATTTATCGCTCAGACCTTACTAAACATGGAAGAATCCACGCACAGGACGGCGGGAAACGCTTCAGGGAGAGCTCGGCACGCACCAAACGTGAGAGAATCCACAAGCGGGCGAGACCCTAGGAGCAGCCTGGGGAAGGCGGTGATCGTAGGGACTTCTGTCTGCTGTGATGTGCAAGATGCTTAATGATGCAGTCGGGGCAGTAGAGAGAACTGTGCCAAATACAGCTGTCTGTACATGCAAGTCTCACAAACAGCAGAGGCTTTTGGGGGTAAAAGAAGAAATCAGATCTACCTAAGTGCCGCTCGCCCACTGAAAGCCGGGTCTTAACAATCCAGGAAATGAAACTGCCTCAAAATGGTTAAACACACAGCCCAACGGAAGACACTCGACTTCCCTGCAGATACCAAAGACTTAGCCCCTTCGCAGTAAAGACTCTAATCCGAATTCCATGCCCATCAGGCTGGCGGATGCTGCGCTTTTAATTTATAAGCCTATGTGAATTTATAGGCACGGAGTTTCTGACTAGCAGCTAATGCATTGTGGTAAGCTAACTGGAGAAATAAATTACACCCCCTCAGGGAAATGCAGTGGAGTGTTTGGGAGAAAAGACGCAGTGGGCAAAGCGTTATTCAAACAATAGTAAAGTTTAAAGCGAAACCTTTTAAATAGTTACAATCTAAAAATTCAACATCTTTCTCGCCGTTTTGTCGCCTAAACAAACAAAGTGGCCATTGTAAATAGTTCATCCTGTAACGAGCTGTCCTGAAAAGGAAAAGAACGGAAGGAAAATACAAAGCAGAGCGGATAGGCTGGTGCGTGCCGGGAAAACAGGCGACCAGCTTCCCAGTCAATTTGTGGACACGTCTTCTGGCAGGTCGTGGGGCCCGGAGAAGTCTGAGGAGGCGCCGTCGTCGCGACTCCAAATAGCTTTTGTGTTTATTCCTCCACGCCAGCATGGGGACTGAGGAGTTCCCAGCCCTGCACTGAACGCCTGATGCTGCCCTTCTCAGCGGCTTGGTTTTAATTTGAATCCGAAAGAGACTCAGGTGCGTGACCAACTCGCTTGTGGCGATGAATCCAGGGATTAAAGAGGCGAGGCAACGCATCCGGCTCTGGATGCATCCACCAGGCCTCTTTTACAGGCCAATCCCCGTGTAAACCCAGAACCGTGAGAGGTTTTGACTCTTCGGCTTCCTGGATCTGCTTCCAGCGCCCTGTACGATTTGTTACAATTACTCGTCTGTGTTTTGACCGGGCTGTGTGTTGTGTCACGTGACCAGACTGTGTTTTGTGGTGCTGGGTTGCCAACAACAGTTGGTTTTTTTTTTTTTTGTTTCCCATAACGTGCATATGAACAATGTCAATATGCCTGTGGCGATACGGAAGCTCTAACACCGCAGCGCCTGTCCCGATAAACCGCAGCCGCGGTTCCGTTTTCGGAGAGATCTGTTCCGTAGTTGCCCGCGGTGGCCGGCGTGTCCTTGTAACTGTGCCACGGCAAAAGTCAGCGTGGCCCCGTTGAAACACAACGACGGTGCCGCGCTGCTTTAACAGCAGGGCTGTTGCGTCAGCGTCGGGTTAGTCAGCTCTAACACCGCAGCGCCTGTCCCGATAAACCGCAGCCGCGGTTCCGTTTTCGGAGAGATCTGTTCCGTAGTTGCCCGCGGTGGCCGGCGTGTCCTTGTAACTGTGCCACGGCAAAAGTCAGCGTGGCCCCGTTGAAACACAACGACGGTGCCGCGCTGCTTTAACAGCAGGGCTGTTGCGTCAGCGTCGGGTTAGTCGTACCAACCTTTTGTAAAGGGCAGCAAAATCTCTGGTCAGTGTGTGTGTGATTCTGCCGC